AAAATATACTTCATGCTTTGCAACTACTTACAAAATTTCCATATATAAATTATTTTCAAATTTTAAAACTTGAAGGTTAATTTTCTTTATTTGACAAAATTAATAATCAAATATACTAATATATTTATTTTGACAAATAAAAGAAATTAGCATTCAAGTTTAAATTTAAAATAATTTATATATAAAACTTTGTATATAGTTGCAAAATTTGGACTACATTTAATTTTTTATAATTATAGATATTTTATTATTTATATTTTAGTATAATATTAGTTTATTAAAGATATAATAATAAAAACACGTTACTGTATTTATAAGAATCAGAAATAATAATAACCAAACTTTTAACTGGAGAAGATGAAAAAGTATAGTAGTATATATAATTTTAAATTTGTAGTAATATTTCAAAATGTTTCTTTAGTCTAGTGGTTAATGTATCTATTCAATCGTTTTGAAATATTACTACAAACCACTAGACTAAAGAAACAAGCCAATATATGAATATACTATTCATGTTGCTGTCTTTAGTGTTTGTATTCGTAACTCTACCTTAGTTGTTTCGGTTATGGCGTTTAGATCCCATCAATGATATTAGTAAGTTTGTGCTGACAAAAGAAAGTAAAACAATGTTTGTTTGTATGTGCAGGAAATGAGGTCCCCTAGAACCTTGGAGGTTTTGAAGCTAGGCAATGTCACGTTCTTAGTGCAAGTGCAAAGATGACATCACAATATAGTAAGCAGAAGATAACTCAAGAGAAAAAACACCAATAGCTTTATTAGAAATCTCCTTTAAACAATCTTACAAGACCTTGTTTATTCAATTTTGCACGTCTAGTGTTAACACCCTAACACATGTCTCTGAAGGATTCCTAAGCTACTCACTTATGTCTATCTGCCATCAAGTACTTCAGCCTCTGCTTTAGCACGACCCAAGAACACCTTAAGATCAGCCTCTGTGTCTTTGTCTCTCTACAGATGACCCCATAGATATCTTATAGTTGTTCTCCATGTTCCCGAAACCCTAGTCTCCAAGGAACACAATATGGACATCTTCCATAACATTAAGTGCAACTTTCCTTTTCTTGGTATGCACTTATTCCTCTTTCCTTTAAGTCATAAACTTGCTCCTCAAGTTTATTTCTCTTGCCTTTTCTCCAAGATACACCCTTGCTCTCCAAGTCTACACGACTCCAGCTCAACATCTTGACTCCACATGGCTTTCACCACTCAACACGACGTCTGCCTCAGAAACTACGTCAGCGACTACTTCAGGGCGGACATCTTACATCAACAATCTCCCCCTTTTAGTTTTGTGTGCCGATCAAGCACAACTTTCTTCTGGTTCAACAACCACGTTCCTTACTTGGAACCTTCCATACCAAATGTGTTTTTTTTCCCCCACGAGATGTGCACCACACCATTCTTTTCTCCCCCATGAGTTAAGCACCATCTACTTCAGGACGTCCATCACCATGCTCTTCTCCCCCATGAGATATGAAATCCTTGGACCAGAACGTCACCACTTCTCCCCCTGCTTGATTGCATACTAAGCTAAAACACAGATGCTTAGATGTCAAGCCTACAGACACACACATCTGTCTCTTCATGTATAATCATGACACAGCCCCGGCTGCAGCGGAATAACAAATACTGCATCACGATCTGACGCACCTGTCGAACTACCTTTCGACCCACTTCTGTTGAGGATTTGGCTTCCTTCATGCGTCGTCTCCTTGACCATGATCCCCTCCTCATCCACACCGAGTGCTTTCTGCACTCGTTGCTATTGTCTTGGAGTGATTTCACTTACACCCTCCTGAAGATCATCTCACATCACTTCTTGACGCACTTCGATCTCCTTCCCTTTTGAACCACAAACAACTCCGTGTCCTGGCTCCAGACTTGATGCTTCTTGATCTTCCTCAAGATCACCCCTACCAGAGCTGCATCCTTCTTCTGATGTCCCTTCCTTGACCTCATCAAGTAAGCCACTCTTGGCTAAGAACACTTCTTCAACCCTCTTGGGTTTAATGAACGTCTTGTTCACCTTTTTAGCCATGTTTATGCTCTTCTCACGAGAAAAACACTCCACCTTCTTGTGTCCAACCTTCCCACAGAACCAGCACCACATCCGATGTTGCTTTTTCTTGGGCCTGACACAGTTGATGATCTACCGATCAGTCTCATTCCTTGTACCAGATGCACAACCATGCTTCAGAATCTCCTGTCTGACCTTCATGTTGCTGCATTGATGTACCACTTTCGGCTTGTTACTCACAGCCACACGCTGTAGAACTTCCTGTCGTACTCCTTGTCATACGTCCCGACGTACTTCCTGACGAATATCTTTGGCTTCACTTTTTGAAGTGCTCCCTCGCACGAACTGTGACCGCCCCTTCTGCTGTACGCCAGTACTCTCAGCTCCTCGATATCCTAGTCCCCAATTCGCCTTGGCTGGTTGTCCCATTGAGAGTATCTTATCCAACTCCTTGGATCCACTGTTGAGCATTCTGATCTGTTTGTGATTCTCAGCCAAATCAATTCCAACTTCCTTGCTCTCTCTTGTTCACCAGTAGCAACTCTTCTAAGCTTGCTAACTTCCTCTTCAAGAGACTCATTCTTCTCTTCTACAGCCGCAAGTTCTTCACGAAGTTCTTCAAGCAAATCATTTTGCTTCTGAGCCACATTTTCCAATCTCAGATTCTGATCATGGACCCTCAACCACTTGTTGAGCAGCACATGATACTCCTCACCATCTTTACTGCGATCTGAATCAGAGGACTCACTAGCTCCCTCTTTGTGTGCACCAAATACAACCATATTCTTCATTGCCTTATCATCTTCTTCAGAATCTGAATCATCAGACGTCTTAACTTCTTTTCCCTTCTTTTTAGTTTGGACATTCACGCCTTGTGTGTCCAACACCTCTGCACTCAGAACACTTAAGTTCCTTTCGTTGTGCCATAGGACAGTCAGCCCTCACATGACCAATTCCTTCACACTCGTAACACTTGATAGCATCTCTTCTACCATTGCCAACATCACCTCCTTGACGACCATATTGATTCCTCCCACCAGAGGAGTTTGTCGCCCTAACAAAATTCCTAGCCAACATACCCACAGTATCTTCAAGCTTCTGGAATCTATCACCATCTTTGTCAGCTGCAAGCGCTATACTCCCTGGCGCACTGCCCGACATAGAGACTGAACTACTATCTGTCTCCATCTCTTGTGCCTTCAGCATACCCACAAGCTTATCAAACTTGAGCTCATCCGTGTTTGTAGTCATCTGCAAGACTGCCTTGTGAGCTTCAAACTTCCTTGGAAGACAGTGTAGTAACTTCTTTACCATCTTCTTCTCCTTGTACTTCTTCCCAAGTACAAATGCTTCATGCGCCATAGCACTGAGTTTGGCACTAAAGCTCACCACAAAATCAACATCAGACCATCTGAGATTCTCAAACTGCGATCCAAGATGATCTAGGCGTGTCCTCTTGACACTCCCATCTCCCTCAAACGAATTCAGCAGGATCGCCCACGCCTCTTTAGCTGACGTACTCCTCTGAATCAGCTGAAACTGTTCTGCTTCAACAGCTCCAAAAATCACCGATAACGCCTTTGCATTAAATTTTGATGCATTGCGTTCTTCCTCTGACCATTCCTCTTTTTGCTTGGGTTTCTTCTCATCTCCTGTGACTATGGTAGGCTCCTCCCAACCAATCTACACAGCTGTCCACGCATCTTCATTGATTCCTCGAATCATCTGCTTCATGCAAGCCTTCCAATGACCATACTGGTCCGCATTCAACATGATTGCCTTCTGCATCGTAACAATCGTGTCCATCTTCAACTTCAGGATTACACCGATAACTTAGGTGCCCGCTCTGATACCAATTGTAAGTGCAAAGATGACACCACAATATAGTAATGCAGAAGATAACTCAAGAGACAAAACACCAATAGCTTTATTAGAAATCTCCTTTAAACAATCTTACAAGACCTTGTTTATTCAGCTTTACACGTCTAGTGTTAACACGCTAACACACGTCACTGAAGGATTCCTAAGCTACTCACTTATGTCTCTCTGCCGTCAAGTACTTCAGCCTCTGCTTCAGCACGACCCAAGAACACCTTAAGAGCTTCTCTCTCTCTCTATAAGATCAGTCTCTGTCTCTCTACAGACGACCCCATAGCTATCTTATAGTTGTTCTCCACGTTCCTGAAACCCTAGTCTCTAAGGAACACAATATGGACATCTTCCATAACATTAAATGCAACTTTCCTTTTCTTGGAATGCACTTATTCATCTTTCCTTTAAGTCATAAACTTGCTCCTCAAGTTTATTTCTCTTGCCTTTTCTCCAAGATACACCCTTGCTCTCCAAGTCTACACGACTCCAGCTCACCATCTTGACTCCACATGGTTTTCACCACTCAACATGACATCTGCCTCAGCAACTACGTCAGCGACTACTTCAGGGCGGACATCTTACATCAACACTTAGCATCGGCATTGGTGCTAGGCACTATCTGGAGACGTTGGAGTGGTCTATGATCGAATTTGCTTCTCTTTATGGCGTGAAAGCACGTGAATGACATAAAGGTGAGACTGGAGTATGAATCGGTATAGAAAGATTGGTGTTATTGGGGTTCGTATATCCTCTGGAATCAATAGCCATGGTTTGACCTTCAACATAGATCCTGACACATTATGCCTTGTGGGATTGCTGGGAAAGAAGTCACATCTCTGAGAAGAGAGACATATACTCTGCTTTCTTCGGAAGAAGTGATTCATGAGAAGTTGGTTTCTTGTCTGGCCAAAGCGTTCTCATATGATGATGCTGTATGGAAGGAAGATCTCCATTCATTTTGGATAATAGTTCTTCTTGAGGTTTAATCATGTTTTGATTGAATGCATTTTTTTTTTGATTGAATGCATCTTACTTACTCTATGAAATTCACTGTTCGATTAGTTTGATTTAATATTAAATTAAAACAAAATCAACACTGCAAACAAGATAAAGAGTAGAGCAAATAGAAAACAAACCACAATGCAGAAGGTATACCTAAAAAGAGAGAATAAACGGGAGAGATTGAATATATAAAGATGATGAGTAAAACAATGGCCATGACATGACTAAGACCCATGATGCCGCCTTCCCAACCTTCAGGCTTGTTCCATAGGAAGATGTAGACCCATAAAGCTACACCATAAATAAATGTTGCGCAATAGTAACCGAAGAACAGCTCGACCATGTCCCATTTGTGTGGAACAGCTATGTGAATCTTCGAGTGTCTAATATACAAAAATATTGCAACGTTTAAGGCTATCAAGAGTGCGCTCATGACAATGTCATAAATCAAGAATTTGTTTAGCCTGCATTAACCCACCAGAAGAACGTATTAACTATTTGTATATACAAGAAGAGAGAAGCCTAACTTGTTAATACAATCGACTGTTATTACTTATGTAGATATAGTGATCACTTCCGTTGACTGATACAAGTATTCAATTTCTGTGTGATAACGGGTAAGAATCGTATATGGGACTCACCTCCATGGATGTCGCTTTCTGGTAATATTAGTCTGATTTTCATCGACTATAGCAGCATGATCCATGGTTTCGCTTTTTGTAATATTAGTGGAAGTTAAGGTCTTATTCTATACTATTAAAACAGAATCTTTCTTATGATTATGTATTTTTGAGAAAAATTACAAAATCATACCATTAACTTCTATTTATTTAAATTAAATAAACAAATATTTTTTTATCTATGGGAACTAATACTTTCCATATTTTTGTCAAAGGTAATAATTCTGATTTTATGCCAATTATACTTGCCATTTAATTTGAACATATTTTTTTTTGTAAATAATAATATTAAAAGATCGAATATAGCTATATACATGAAGTTTTTAAAAATATTACTTACTATGTAATTTTCTACATAATATTAATATAGCAATTTTGAGTGTTCAAAAATAATTTAAAACTTATCATAAAATTAAATTTTAGATCTAAAATAATAAAAATATAAACATAGCATAGGTTATTAAAACGAAAGAAAACTAATATTGTCATATCAATTTTTTTGTCTTTTTCTATTACCATTGTTTCGTTTTCTTTAAATGACATAGTAAAATTTTCATCAAGTTATAATGAATTTAAAAATCAATTTTTCTATAATATCCAAAACAAGGGTTATTTAATCAAAAATTTTAAAAGTATTATTAGATTTTTTGGGTTTTTAGTGGATCAAGCAATATCGGATTGCAATTTTTTTAACCTTTTACCGGATTGCATGGAACTTTTAGTTTAAAAAAATTATTTTCATTAAATTCAAACTGGATTATACACAAGTGTCTAGATTTATCGTTTTAACCATATATCTGAATCAAATATAATCACACTACATACTTAAAAATCAAATATTATAATAATACAATTTTTTGAAATACTAAAAAACATTTTTTTTGTTTTTTAATAGAAGCAAATATTCTCTATATCTATGGGAATTAATATTTTCTATATTTTGTCAAAGGTATTAGTTCTAATTTTTATACCAATTATAGTTACCATTTAATTTGAATATAAATTTTGGTAAATAATAATTTTAAAAGATCGAATATAGGTATATACATGAAGTTTTAAAAAATATTATTTACTATGGAATTTTCTGCATAATATTAATATGGAAATTTTGATTTTTCAAAAATAATTTAAAATTATCATAAAATTAAATTTTAGATCTAAAATAAATAAAAATATAAACATAGCATAGGTTATTAAAAACAAAAAGAAACTAATATTTTCATATCAATTTTTTTGTCTTATTCTATTACTATTGTTTTGTTTTCTTCAAATGACATAATAAAATTTTCATCAAATTCTAAGGAATTAAAAATCAATTTATATAATATTAAAAACAAGATTTATATAATAAAAAATTCAAAAGAAATATTAGATTTTTGAGTTTTTAGTGAATGAACCAATATCAGATCGCAATTTTTTAAAAAACTTTTTACTGGATTGCATCAAACTTTTAGTTAAACAAAAAAAGATTTTCATTAAATTCAAATTGGACTATACACAAGTGTCTAGATCTATCGCTTCAACCATATATTTGAATCAAATATAAACACACTACTTAAAAATCAAATATTAGAATAAAACAATTTTTAAATTCTTTGTTTTTAATCAAAGTTATATATTTAATTAAATTTTATTTAACGAAAAAAATATCCACGCTTTTAAAGTGCGGATCAAAATCTAGTTACTCCTTATATATTGAAACCTTTTTCTGTTTTACCTTATACAATTATCTAAGGATTGATTATGTCAAATATTAAATGAATATTATTTTTCTCAAGAGTTCTTATCACCTCTGATTTTATATTTTAATACTTAAAAAGGCTTTTTCCATCTATAATATTTTTTCTTGTAAATACTGAAATACCTCAAAGTAAATAAAATAGTAAATTCAAATATCATAAAATATCTCAGAATATTAACTTCACAGGAGAACATTTTAAACAAATACAAGGAAAAAGAAACGCAATGAAACAAAGAAAACTAGATTAACGAAGTCTTTGAGAAGTTGATCATCAGAAAAAAGACTTTTATTAGATATTTTATTACTTTTTTGGTAAAACATCCCTTATATATTTATCATCACAATCATATATTATCAAATCACTTCCATGGGAAACATTTAACCTTTTTACCAAGCTTGCATGGGCCATCAGGTTTAATAGTCCAGTTGAGTTTATAACCGTCATCTTGATCTCTCGGAGCATCAAATATATCAAACTGCTTGACCTGATTGCTCCATTGGAAGCTGCAGAAGAACAGTGTTGATTTCCATATATTTGGCTGAAATGTAAAGTGGTAATCTGTGTTGGCAGCCACCATGTGAACCCCCAAATCGCTATCTTTGGATTTGCAGTGAACCGTAAGTGGACTTCCAAGATTATTTGTCATTGTGACGGTGGTTGCGGGCCAAAACGGTGGTAGCTCATGACTCGGACCAAACAAAAAAACCATGCTCAGAAAAGCAACATAAAGTTTTGGTGAATTTCTCATTGATGCAGGATTTCTCAATAAGATTGCTATACTGGAGTTGAACTTGAAGTAATTTGGGATGGCTGAACAGATTCAGTCCATATTTATAGCGCTTTCATAGTAATTAAGCAAACGTTTTCTCAAGAGCAATAAATAAATTATTAATGAATTTTGACCCCAAAAACGAAACTAACAAGCGATCAGTCAAAGAGTAAAAATTATTTATTAATACCAATTGAACAAGCGAATCAGTCAATGTGGAATTAGGTCCGTCTTGTAACGTATGTTTGTGAAGTTCAGTTGTCACCTAAAGAGACATGCACAAAATAAAGTGTTGACTACATAATAATTAAACTAGATTAAGATCCGCGCATTTGCGCGGGATAAGAATTATATATAAATATAATTTTACCTATTATTTTTATTTTGTATTTTAACATATTATAAAATAATAAATATTTATATATATTGAATAAATGAAAAATTAGTAACTGTTATATAAATTAAACTATTAATCAAAAAATTTATATATGAAATTTTAAAAGATTTTATTAATTTATAATTGTTTTTTTTAAATTTATATATAAATACAAAAAAAAAAAATTTATTATGTAGGTAATTTATTTTCACAAATTCTTCTAATTCAAATAATTAATTAACATATATATTTTAATCACATAAGGTAATTTCGTAAATTTTATTTAAGGAAAATGGATGATACTAATAATAGTTTTATGGTTAGTATAATTAAAAATATAATATATATTTACATGTACCAACATTTTTTCTAGAAATTTTGAGAAGCATTTTATTAATGACACATGTCACAGCTAAACATATTGTAATGTTTCTCTTTTAATATATATGAGATGTTCGTTTAAAAGGTAATAAAATTAGCAAAAACAAGTATTGATGTTAAAAGTCTCATTAATGGTTGATTAAGAATATATAAATGTTCTTATAAGGAAGCCAACTTCTACGAAACACCAAAACAATAAAACTAGTGTATTTTTTTAATGAAACAATAAAATTGACTGCTGGTAAAAACCAATAGAATAACATCATTTCACTAATTTTGTGAATTATCTCTATAATATTATTTGAGAAGTCACTTTCTTATGTGTCGCGCTCACGTTAACTCTCTCGCTGGTTGATTACTATGATACCCCTAATGAATTAAAAAAAATACAAATATTACTATTTTGTGAATTTTCCTTTTTTTATGAAAAAATATTTATATATACTTATATGTTCGTTTTTAAATAGTTTTGTAAACTTTATAAATGTTTCCTTTTTATTTTATATTGTTATTTAGTAAAAAATTAAAAGGAAATAATAATATTTCTATTTTTTAAAATGTATCAACTATAATATTTTTCTTCAAAATATACTAAAAGTTTGATTATTTTGCATTTAGATTGGTTATCGTCTTATATAAATAAATATATTTTAGTAAGATTATGTATAATATATATTATGCTTATAATAAAATTAAAAATAAACTGAAATTTTGACTCAAAATTACATAAATGAATATAATGATAATAAAATATATATATGATACATTTATAAATACAAATATTATTATTTCCTTTTAATTTTTTACTAAATAACAATATAAAATAAAAATGAAACATTTATAAAGTTTACAAAACTATTTAAAAACGAAAATATAAGTATATATAAATATTTTTTCATAAAAAAAAAGGAAAATTCAAAAAATAGTAATATTTGATTTAAATATATTTTAAATAACATATATGTACTTTTTAAATAAGAAAATAATATTTTTATATAATGTGATTCCATAAAAAAAAGTTAACACAACTAATCTTGATATTAGAAAAAGAAATATTTTTTTCTTTAAAAAAATAATTTTAAAGAATAAATATATATATTTTTCAAAGTAATTATTTTCTTTGTATATATCTATCTATTTTATTAGATGATTACATAAAATAATTAAGTAACATAAATAGATATATGTTTAATTGAAATTTTTTATAATTAGTATTCTTGAAATATTTTTTTTTTATTTTTAGTATATTTATTTGACTATAATATCTCACAATCATAACAAAAATATGAATTTTATTTTACTTATATAATATAATTTCACAAAACAGTAACATTTTTACTGCATATTTTAAGAGATATTAAAAAAAACTAATAATATTTTTTTTATCAAATAACTACAATTATTTTAGAATATCATAACACTATATAATTTAATGAAGTAGATATATTAAATTTTAATAGTTAAACTTATATGTTTTCCTAATAATTCTTTTGATTTTTAATTTTCTGTTTTTATGTTTGTGGAACTTAATATAACCATTATCAAAATACTTAAGCAAATCAGAATTCTTATTTTTAAAATTATTTAAAATAAATTTCAATTTACCATCCAATCAATCTAAATATTTTAAATATTAATATGTGTTCATAAGCTTCCTAAATTTTATTAGTTACTTATGTATGTAATTTAAAATCAGACAATTTAGTTTTTATTTTTTTCTTTCTAATCAAAAAAATCTTAAGTTATACATAATCTTACTAGGTATACTTATATTTCTAAGATAACAACCGACATAAATGCAAATAAGATAATTAATCAAAAATTTAATATATTTAAAATAAAAAAAGATTATAGTTGAATTCCTAGAAATAGATAGAATCTAATATATCCAAATGATAACTAAATCAACCGTAAAAACAATAAAACTGACTAAATATAACATATCTAAAATTATATATTAAATTAATATAATATTATTAATATAAATTATACCAACAAATTATAAATTAATTTAAAATTTAAAGTAAATATCAACTAATTATTATAATATATACAAATATTTATGTTCGTGCATGATATTATTTGAGAAGTCACTTTCTTATGTGTCGCGCTCACGTTAAATCTCTCGCTGGTTGATTACTATGACACCCCTAATGAATTAAAAAAATACAAATATTACTATTTTGTGAATTTTCTTTTTTTTTATGAAACAATATTTATATATACTTATACTTTCGTTTTTAAATAGTTTTGTAAACTTTATAAATGTTTCCTTTTTATTTTATATTGTTATTTAGTAAAAAATTAAAAGGAAATAATAATATTTCTATTTTTTAAAATGTATCAACTATAATATTTTTCTTCAAAATATACTAAAAGTTTGATTATTTTGCATTTAGATTGGTTATCGTCTTATATAAATAAAAATATTTTAGTAAGATTATGTATAATATATATTATGCTTATAATAAAATTAAAAATAAACTGAAATTTTGACTCAAAATTACATAAATGAATATAATGATAATAAAATTTATATATGATACATTTATAAATACAAATATTATTATTTCCTTTTAATTTTTTACTAAATAACAATATAAAATAAAAAGGAAACATTTATAAAGTTTACAAAACTATTTAAAAACGAAAATATAAGTATATATAAATATTGTTTCATAAAAAAAGGAAAATTCACAAAATAGTAATATTTAATTTAAATATATTTTAAATAACATATATATACTTTTTAAATAAGAAAATAATATTTTTATATAATGTGATTCCATTAAAAAAGTTAACACAACTAATCTTGATATTAGAAAAAGAAATATTTTTTTCTTTAAAAAAATAATTTTAAAGAATATATATATATATTTTTCAAAGTAATTATTTTCTTTGTATATATCTATCTATTTTTTTAGATGATTACATAAAATAATTAAGTAACATAAATAGATATATGTTTAATTGACATTTTTTTATAATTAGTATTCTTGAAATATTTTTTTTATTCTTAGTATATTTATTTGACTTTAATATCTCACAATTATAACAAAAATATGAATTTTATTTTACTTATATAATATAATTTCACAAAACAGTAACATTTTTACTGCATATTTTAAGAGATATTAAAAATACTAATAATATTTTTTTTTATCAAATAACTACAATTATTTTAGAATATCATAACACTATATAATTTAATGAAGTAGATATATTAAATTTTAATAGTTAAACTTATATGTTTTCCTAATAATTCTTTTGATTTTTAATTTTCTATTTTTATGTTTGTGGAACTTAATATAACCATAATCAAAATACTTAAGCAAATCAAAATTCTTATTTTTAAAATTATTTAAAATAAATTTCAATTTACCATCCAATCAATCTAAATATTGTAAATATTAATATGTGTTCATAAGCTTCCTAAATTTTATTAGTTACTGATGTATGTAATTTAAAATCAGACAATTTATTTTTTATTTTTTTTCTTTCTAATCAAAAAAATCTTAAGTTATACATAATCTTACTAGATATACTTATATTTCTAAGATAACAACCGACATAAATGAAAATAAGATAATTAATCAAAAATTTAATATATTTAAAATAAAAAAAAGATTATAGTTGAATTCCTAGAAATAGATGGAATCTAATATATCCAAATGATAACTAAATCAACCGTAAAAACAATAAAACTGACTAAATATAACATATCTAAAATTATATATTAAATTAATATAATATTATTAATATAAATTATACCAACAAATTATAAATTAATTTAAATTTAAAGTAAATATCAACTAATTATTATAATATATTATTTTACAAATATTTATGTCCGTGCATGAGCACGGGAAAATCACCTAGTATGTATTACACTAAATGTGGTGCAATATTATTAATCACACCATATTCAAGTAATATATTTTATTACTTTTCATTTGATTATATATAAACAAATATTATTTTTATTTTTATTTTGAAATTACTAAACATTAAAATATTATTTTATATTTTCAGTTGGTAATAAAATTAAATGAGTATTATTTTGAAATTGTAACAAAATAAAAGTACTCTTCATAAATTTTAATTTCAACTAAATTGTACATAAATAAAAAATATTATATAAATTAAGTAAAAGACAAAAATAATATTTTAAATAAACTGTGGAAACATAAAGTACCTATCAAAAAAATAAAATTAAATGAGATAGATATAATTATTCAACTATAACTATATATTGTGTTGACTTATTAAGCTAAAAAGTTAATATATAACATAGTTTTGGTATATAATTTGGTGTAATAGTTGAATATGAAAAATAAAATTCAACACCAAAATTTAGTGTTGAATTATGATTAGAGTTGCCTTAAGAAATTTGAGTTAAAATCCTAGTAAACGTGATTTATTATAATTTAATAGAAAAAATTGCCATAATGCAAATAGGACTATTAGTCATTAACTTTTATAAAAAAGTTAAACGTGATGTAATTAGATTCTAACAACTGAATTATCGGTTGAAAACATAATAATTTGTCATACTGACAGCCCATTTGCTAATATTTGATTTGTTTTCTCTTAACACAGCTTTAGTTAGCTCATCTTTTTCCTTATGCACAATCATTTTATACAAACGAATTCTCCAAATCAGCAGAAGGACAAATTTGCTACTGAAGGTTACAAAACTTTCAAAAGGGAAAACAACATTAAACGCAGAGATAATCCTCAGACGAAACCATTAATAATAAAACATTTACCCAGATCCAAAACACACACAAAAAATGTCCCTAAGGTGAACCCAACATCCCACAGCAACAAAACAAAGAAAAACCACCAAAATCAGCTTCAATGTTTTTAGATTTATAATACAAACACAAAAAATAGACAGTTAAACGACAAAGTACTTCATTTACAAAAAAAAAAAAAAAAAACGACAAAGTACTTTCTTTCTGCTCTTTTTTTCCTTGATCTCGTTATCGTTAATGCTTTCATCCGTGACACAGCATGCAAATGTTTCTACATAATTGTTTCTACATAATAAACAGTAGAGATTAGAGCTGGGAATATGATTCATTACCCACAGGTCCTGCCCCGTTTAACCCGCTGCGGGGCGAGTGTGGGTTATGAATATCTTATGCGGGGCGGTGTGGGTTGGTAGATTTTGAATCGCGGTTACCCACTAATCCGCAAATTTTTTTTTTTACATTTTTTTTTTAAATTGTGTTTTTTCTATAGAAAATAGTATTTTTTTAGAAAAATCAATATTTTTTTTTAGAAATACAGTATTTTTAACAAATATATATAATTTTATTATAAATATATTAATTTTATTAATTTTTCATAAAAATTAAATTAAATAATTATTTTTTAAAAATATATATATAACCTGCGGGTCCCGCGGGTTACCCGCAAAATTAAACGGGGCGGGTGCGGGTGTAAATTTATACATTTGCGTGTTGTGCGGATCGAATTTTTTGACAAAAAAAATAACTGAAACTCACGGGTTAATGGGTCAGCGGGGCGGGTTTGACCCGCAAACCAACCTTAGTAGAGATGTCATTAAAAATCCTAGGTTTATAATATAATTATCTCGACGTTCAGGTATGTATGTGTAACTAGCTTGTTTTAATAAGCAAAGAAAACAACAAAAACTGGATCTAAAAGAAGAGAAGGTTTCTTACTGTTTACTTGGAAATTACATGCCATCAATCTGAGTTTAAATTTTCAGAGATTGCACTTAGTTAATCTATAGCCGTAAGCCTTCTCAATCTAGATTTCGTTGACTTAGCATTGTAAGATGAACAGCAAAGTAAAGGCCCGATATTTCAAACCAATAAGAGATTGCAGAAATGATATGAGGTAAGAAAGATTGACTGATTTTTGATGAAGACATGAAGAAAATTGTAGTTGACAGATATATTTAACAAGGAGGATGGATCGCTTAAGAGAGAGATCGTGTGGAATGAATAGTGATTGACAAATTTCATGAAGATGGATCGCAAACGTCTAAGGAATAAAGATCGGATCGAGAGAAAAATGATTTAGGGTAGTATTAGCAGTTACATGGATTTTAAGTTGAGTTGGCACATTTAGATTTGATGATTTTCTATGCTGACATGGATAAGTTGAGAGTTGAGTATATAGAAATTTTAGTATTGTAAGATATATATAAAAAAATTCCTTTGGGCCTCGTGTTTATATCGCTGGTATCACATTTGAGCCCATTGGGCAATATCAATATAACTTGGTTAACAAATAAAACTCAAGCGAAATCTCCCCTCCGTCTTCAAACCGAAACGGTTCTTCACTGCACACCACATAAACCCAAAAGCAGGATAATCAATCAACAATGGCGTCTGCTTCTTCCTTGCTTAGCCTTAGATGGAATCCGCTATTCACACACACCCCACGCCCTCAGAATCGCACCTCTCTCTTCTCCTCAAAACCTCAACCCAAATCCAATTCGTTACGCTTCCAAATCGCCGTCAAAAACAAACAATCCGACTCATCTCCCTCTCAGAGATTAAACAATTCATTTGACCAAATAGCGATTCAGATCAAAAGAGCGTTAGATTCTCTGAAAAAACCCGCAATAGCTGCGGTTTTGATCGGTCTGCTTTTGTTCCACGATCCTACTAACTCCGCCTTGGCTGCATCCGGTGGTAGAATCGGCGGTAACTCCTTCTCATCGCGAAGCTCTTCCTCTTCTTCCTCCTCCTCTTCTTCGTCGTCTTACTCTGTGCGGACGAGAGGATCAGATCAGAGTGGGAGATTCTCGGCTCCGTACTATGGACCTTCCCCGTTCAGTGGAGGTCTCTACGTTGGTCCCGCGGTTGGATTTGGATTCGGTGGAGTTTCGAGCTTCTCTCTGATTCTTGTTGGTTTCGCTGCCTTTATTGTGGTTTCTGGATTCCTATCAGATCGTTCGCAGGGCTCCACGTTAACTACCGATACTCAGAAAACTAGCGTTATTAAACTACAGGTAGGTCGCGTCTCTTTTATCTACTGTCGAATGTTCGTAACAATTTTGTGTATATGTAACAATTTTTTTGCAGGTAGGGTTGCTGGGTTTGGGGAGGACGCTACAACAAGATTTCAATAGACTTGCGGAAAGTGCTGATACTTCCACATCCGAGGGTCTCAGCTATGTTTTAACCGGTAACTGTTTTTTTTTTTAATATGCTATCTCTGACTCACTGGTTGCATCAATAAGAAAGAGGTCTTCTAGTAGCAAAACATTTCGAGATTTTATTTAACTTTGTTTATTTGTTGCTATTATTTGATGAATAATCTTAATCCGAGGACTACTTTTTTTTTATCATGAAACATGCTTAATCTTAACTTTCGGTGATATGTGTGGTTCGTAATGTTTTTTTTTTTTTTACAATTTTTGGTTGGTGCTACAGAGGCAACATTGGCTTTGCTGAGGCACCCGGACTATTGCATCTCTTGCTATTCATCAGTAAGTCGTCAACTGGTTCTCCCATGATTGATATTTTCACCAGTTTTTTTTCTTTTTGCCTGGCCTAGTAACTCTAGTGAACATTTTGATGCATAAGCTGACCACTCTGTTTTGTATCATTATATGCTATTCTCAGGTGGATGTGAAACGGAGTATAGAAGACGGAGAGAAACGATTTAATCAACTCTCCATTGAAGAACGCGGGAAATTCGATGAGGAGACTCTTGTTAACGTCAACAGCATTAAGAGACAAAGCTCCAAGATTCGGACTGCTAACGGTTTCAGCAATGAATATATTGTGGTAACACTTACAAATTCACAGTTAGTTTTGTTTACTAGGATAGCTTAGATTGCCGTAACTTTGGTTTTAACACATATTTTCAGGTAACCATCTTGGTAGCTGCAGAGGGCATACATAAACTGCAGCCAATAAATGGAACTGTGGATCTAAAGGAAGCCTTACAGAAAATTGGGTCAATACCTAGAAACAAAATAATGGTAAGACTCTGTATCTCTTTAAGTTTTAATAACTATGAGAACAAGTGTCTTGCAAATGAATGGTGTAAAAAATAAAACAAATGTTGCAGGCAGTAGAAGTTCTGTGGACACCTCAGAATGATAAGGACACTTTGTCAGAAAGGGAGCTACTTGAAGATTACCCACTCTTGAGGCCTTTGTAAATTTCACTCTCATAAAACGAACCCTTCGTAATTGGTAACGTTTTGGAGAATTTATCTTAGATATGTATCTGCCACCTTGTAAGTTTCGTGTATGCTCAAAGCCTCAAACTGATTATAATCCTATCACGGGACAGCATGCAAACGTACCTAAAGTGATCATGTACTATACGTCAAAAGCCTTTTTAGGGTTTGATCCAGTTAGACAAACAATTCAACCTTTATAGTTCTAAAATGGATGGTCATAAAATTTTGACATGAGTTCCAAAACTTGGGTGGAGTAACATCATGTGTCCAAAAACACTACAGTTATTATTGGTCTGAAGTAATATGCATCAATGGAGTTATATACTACGTAGCTCATGGAAAACACATACGAATGATAGTTTGTATTAATGTTAGGTATGTGGAGTTCAAGGTTATTAAAGCAGAATGCTTTAATCATCAAGCTCCTACATTGATAAACTGATTATAAGGGTACATTAGGTGGGATTTTTTGGGAGTCTGGTGACAGTTGTGCCATTGAGCTGCGTATGTGTGTTCTAGAGGATGTCGAGAAACAAGAATGGTCCAATTATGACTACTCTTTGCCTGAGAATTATGTCATTAAACTCCACAAGTTCTCCATTGCCGGAATTATACTAGAGGTGAATATGTTTTGTATATGATCAATACATTTACAAATGTTTTCTACTTCAATCCTGAAAAGAACACTCTTAGGAGTGTTGAAATCCTAGGTTTTGGTGAGAATCTTAGTAGGGTTGAAGTCTTTGGGTACCATGTGGAGGATTTCAGCTTCTTAAAAAGAGAGTCTAGCTAGTTTGATTGTGTTTGTTGTGACTTATCCCATCTTCAACCTTTGTTTGTAAGCTCTTATCATTTTGTTGGCTTATCAATTTATCATATGTGTACTAATGTTTGACACTATAGTATTCAACATTTTTATTACATGTCTCGTTTGGTTAACCGGCATCTATGATTGAGTCCAATAGAAAACTCATTATCTTAAGACTTTTGAATATATAAGTAAATTTTTTTATGCGCGCATAAATAATAATTTTAGTATAACTAAATTTTTATTTAAAATAAATATTTGGTTTAAACTTTAACATTATTAATTTATATTTTAGTTTCAACATTTTAGAAAAAAATAAAACTATAAATGTAAGTATATTTAGTCTTGTTTCTTTTGGTTTGATTTGTTTGGTTTAATTATTTTAATTTTAGTTTAACTTCTATTAGAATTAAAATTATATTTGCTAAGCATAAAAATATTTATATGATAACGATTATTTATTTAAATATGTATATTATCGCTGAGTTTTAAAATTATATATTTATGTATATATTCTAATAAATTTTTAATTTTTGAATATTCTAGTTAAATAAGTTAAACTGGTAGGAAATCAATTTATTAATTCACTTAATGAATCAATAAATTTAAGTAAAATTTCATTCAATTAATTATCAACAAAAGTCTATTTTATTAGAAATTTTTATTTCTATATTTGTAAGGCACACTTACAAATAATTTTGATAAATATATAATATTTACACCAAATTTCAGAAAAAAATAAAAAATAGCCACTACTATATTTTAAATTTTTTGACAAATGAATCTTTGTAAAGAAAATCTACTTCAATGATTGATGTTAGAGTTATTAGCTATTACTATAGTTAAAAAGTCTTGCAAAAATTTGAACATTTTTATAAAGAAAATTATTATATGTCATAATTAAATGATGTCAAGTCACAATTTCTCAAAACCATATTATATTTTTTTTGGTAAATATGAATATGGTGATGATAAATTAAAAATCACTTCTTTAACTAATAGGAGATAGAGAAGGTAGACCTTATTTAATTATTCAACCTTTATAAACAATGTTCGAAAAGAATTGAAGCTTCCAAGAAAATAATTACAGATGAAAAATGAACACTTGGATATTGGACAAACGGATTCATTCGTCATAGTGTTTACTGTTTATAAGCTCTGCTTTTTTTTGTTTAAGCAATTGAAACTTTACGCAATTTAGCTCTCCCTCTTTGTTTAAGCTTTGGGCCTTGTTGATTCCATTCTGTTACGCCCACTAGCCACTACATATGTAGGTCCGTAGGATCGAAGGTTTTGGTTCCTAAAATAAACCAAATCTTTGAGAGATTGATCTCATAATATATAGTAATTCAAGGTTTGTATAGCTTATTTATTAAAAAAAAAATATTTGCAGAAGCTACCCCAATCCTCGTGAGTTTAATTAAACAAATCAGTTAATTTTCAAAAAAAAAAAAGAAAAACATTAAATGCAACTGGATCAAACGCGGTGGAATCAGAGCCGTCCATCTCCCAAAAAAAAAACACAAACACGGCTTTGGTAAAAAGAATGGGCCCCACGTTTCGGCCACTTCCCAAAGACCCATAGATTCAGCCTTAAACCCACAAACTCTCTCTCTTCCCCGCCTCCCTTCACGACCAAATCTCTCTCTCTCTCTCTCTCTTTCTTTCTCACTTTCCGCCACTACCGCAACTCTCTAGAGCCACCTTTCTTCTTCGGTCTCGGAGAAGGAAACACATAGAGAAACATTAACATAAAAAGTAAACTCGGAGACTCTGTTTTCTTTCCTTCCCGGAGATATCGGATCTGTTCAAGATGCAGACAACCAACGGCTCAGATTCAACGTCAGCCACTCCTCCCGTCAACCAGACTACTCCTCCTCCTCCGCCGCCTCATCAGTGGCAACAGCAACAACAGTGGATGATGATGATGATGATGCAACAACAACAGCAGCAGCATATGATGATGTATCCTCACCAATACGCTCCTTACAATCATGTTGGTCCTTATCCTCACTTCCAATACGCACCGTATCAGCAAAACCAACACAAGCCGCCACCACATGAGCGTGGATCTGGAGAAAACGTCAAGACTCTTTGGGTTGGTGACCTTTTGCATTGGATGGACGAGGCTTATCTCCACACCTGCTTCTCTCACACCAACGAGGTTTGTTTATTATGTCAATGAATGATATGTTACGTGAAAAGTGATTTGTTTCCAGATCTTGTTCATCTTCTTGAATTTTCTTGTGTTTTGATTTGATAAGGATTCTTTTTTTGGCAAGTTTTTTGTTTTTGTTTTTGAAACTGCTTTATTGGATAAGATCCAATGATTAATTATTGATTTTTTCATAGAAACAAATATGGTAATGGAGAAAAAAAAACAGTATTGACTTGAAAATGACATGACAACTTCATACTTCGTTAGGCAAAAAAAAAGTATTGTAATACGTTACCATGTTTAGTTGAACTTTTCTTCCATAAGGAGAAATAAATAAATAAATAAATAAACATTTGTTTTTACTGATGTGTAGGTTTCTTCTGTGAAAGTGATTCGTAACAAGCAAACTCTTCAGTCAGAAGGATACGGTTTCGTTGAGTTTCTTTCACGTGCTGCAGCTGAAGAGGTTCTTCAGAGCTTTAGTGGCTCTATAATGCCGAACTCTGAGCAGCCCTTCCGTCTAAATTGGGCGTCTTTTAGCACTGGCGAGAAGAGAGCTGTGGAGAATGGTCCTGAGCTGTCCATCTTCGTTGGAGATTTGTCTCCGGATGTGACTGATACTGTGTTGCAAGAGTTGTTTGCTGAGAGATATCCCTCTGTCAAAAGCGCCAAAGTTGTGATTGATTTAAACACTGGTCGGTCTAAAGGTTATGGGTTTGTTAGGTTCGGTGATGAGGATGAGAGATCAAGGGCTTTGACTGAGATGAATGGAGCTTTGTGTTCCAATAGGCAGATGAGAGTTGGTGTTGCGACTCCTAAAAGAGCTGTTGCTAATCAGCAGCAACATTCTTCACAAGGTGACACATATCTTCTTGACCTTTAAATGCTTCTTGTCTTCTTGATGACATTCAACAAAGGTTTATGAACTACAAAAATTTTATGTTTTGGTTGGTATAGCTGTGGTAGTGGCTGGTGGACATGGAGCAAATGGTTACATGCCTCATGGCTCACAGTCTGATGGCGATTCAAACAACTCAACAGTGAGTTTTCATAGCCTTCTCCCCTGCTTTGATTATTCAAGATTTGTGCTCATTTCCTTTTATTCTGCTGCAGATATTTGTTGGCGGCCTTGACCCTGATGTTACTGAAGAGGACCTCAGACAACCTTTTACACAATTTGGTGAAGTTGTTTCAGTGAAGATCCCACTAGGGAAAGGATGTGGATTTGTTCAGTTTGATAACAGGTGCGGTTTTCTGCCTAGAAAGTGTGGGCTTGTTAGTCATAAGACTGAGCCAAAACCTTATGTGTAATCTCAAAGCGACCTTGCTGCCTTTGGTTGTGACAGGAAGAGTGCTGATGATGCGATCCAGAGTTTGAACGGGACAGTCATCGGCAAGAACACTGTCAGGCTCTCTTGGGGAAGAACACCGAATAAGCAGGTAATCTTTTTTTTTTGACAAGTAGACTAAAAACAAGTATTTTGATAGGGTCAAACTATGTTAATAGAGGTTTCTCTAATCCTAGTTGTGTCAGAATATAATAAAACTAAAGTTAGTGGTAGAAAATATGCAATAGCTGGAATCTATCCTGCTCCTCCCCTAGTTTTCTCTTTTGACAATACAAGTTGTAATATCCAACACACTAATTCCATATCACGTTACTTAAAATGGTCAAGATCTTGATTTTTTTGTACCCTATTTTCGTAGGACTTAAATGACTTTTTTTAGAACTTGTTCCCATTTCTCTGTCAACTTCTGAGGTCATCAAGTTCGTGTTTCATGTCGCACATGTTTGATAAATATCCAATATATCACTCTCTTAATGCGTTGTTGTCTACATTGTGGCAGTGGAGAGGAGACAATGGAGGATACTCACGAGGACAAGGTTACAACAACGGAGGCTACGCTAACCACCACGACTCCAACTCCTACCCTGCCGAGACTTGACTTGAAGAGAAGAAGAGAGACTCAAAAGTGTTCATGGATCATAGTGGTTTAAGCCTTCTGTGATTCACAACACATCATAAATGCTAAAAACTTGTAGTCGAAAAGGAGAATTTTGATAGATTTTGTTCTTGTTTGGAGATCGAAACATGTTGGTTACTGGTGTCTTGTCTGAAGACTAACATAATGGTTGTTCTCGTTAAGATCATTTCAGCTTAAAAGTTAAAAACCTTTACCCACAATAACTCCATAATAAATAAAGCTTAAAGATGGAAGAAGCTTTCATGGCGATGCTCTTTCACCTCCTCCATCTCCAAAACTCTTTAGACCCAAACAAAGCACTCTCTTCTCCTCCACAGCTTCACCGTCTCCCACCTACACCTTCTTCTCTCCTCTCATTCCTCAACAGACCTCTTTATCTTCAACCAACTCATCACCTTCCCCTCCACCGTCTCTCCGTTCTTGGTTAGCCATTGCAACTTCTTTTCATTGTTATCACATAAGAAGCAGGTGTTTTCAAGTGTTTAGGTAGCATTTATAGATTCAATCCTCTTGAGAACATTTTCACTTTTTAGCTTCAGTTTTGAAGGATTCAGAATCTCTTTAATTATCTTTTAGAAATATCACTACAGATCATTGTCTTTGGTACAACTTTTTTCAGACCTGTCTGAATTTAACAGTAGTCCTCTTTTGTTGAAACTTTTGCATTTCTTTATAACACTATAAACATGGGAATGAATGAGTCTCTTAATACAATTCCATAACAAGATCAGTAAAGTTGTTGACATATCCATTCCCTACGTATACTTTTTCATCTTTTGGATCCTCATAGCACTCTCACCGTGTTTTCGCTACAGACTGTCGAGTAGAGACACCGTGCAACAATTTGACAAAACCCAAGAAGCTTAGCTTCCCATCAGTGTGTCTAATCCAGTCATGTAGAATGGTATGGACAGGGATGGTTGATCCAACACCAAGTTCCTACAAAAACATGTATGTTCCATTTATCACTTGGCTAAAAATATAGTAAATAGAAAGTCCCAAGTGATGAAGACAAACTTACGGAAGCAAGTTCTTCGATGACAATAACTCGGTTTCCGTTCATCTCAAAGAGCTCATAAGCATGGCGAACGCTCTGTTCCCAGCAATCAAGTGACTCATGCTGATGAACACTGATGGAAGCTGCACAAAACTCTTCAAAATCCATCCCTTTGTATTCAAGTCCATTTAACTGTCATTAACACCCAAACTTTTTGTTAACCAAACAAATTAAGCAAGAAGCCCTAAACAACAGACAGGACAATACCAATGCAATAAAGTCTGGTATCCGTGACTCCTTCATTGCTTCTGTCGCATTTGAAACAAGTGCCTGTCCAAACAGAAAATGAATCTAACTTTGATTTGTACGTTATAGAGCAAGAGAGAAGAGAAAGAAGGTACATACCGATCTGATGTTATCCAAGGTGATGAGGCCATTTTTGTTAGGTGCTAAAAGTGCAAACTGAGCTTTTAGATAAAGAAGTTCATCTGTAATCAATGTCTTGGACAGAGCCTGGAGAGAGCACATTTAGCACCAACACTAAAACGTGGAGAAAAACACATTGAAAGGATTGCAAGAAAAAATATACCATCAAAGCAGCTTTGCGCAATGAAGAAGATTTCAAGTATGCTTTCATCTGCCTGAAGATCAGAATATCAAATGGGATATTCATCTTCTTACATCCTGCGATCCATGGATGCACTGCAAAAAGGTATTTAAGCAAAACTGATTGGTATTCATCACTATATAAAAAGATGATGAATCAGAGAAAGATTGTGGAGTTACTGACTCAAAGCTTGAGAGGCAGTCATTCTTTTGCGTGGGTCTTTGTACAATAGCCGTTTAACAAAATCTTTTGCTTCAAAAGACAATGAAGGCCAAGGAGGTTCATTAAAACTCGGTTCCGCTTTCAGAACTGCTCTGAAGATTCCTGATTCAGTTCTTGCCCAAAAGGGACGGCTTCCACATAGGAGAATGTATGCTATCACTCCTATACTCCAAACATCAGCTTCCGTGGTGTAAGATCTGTGTAGAACTTCAGGGGCTACGTAATATGCACTGCCCACTATATCATTTAGTCTTTCGTCTGGTCTGACAAAGTCTGATAAACCAAAGTCTATCACTTTCAACTGAGAGTTGTCCTCCTTGGAAGTGTACAAGAAGTTCTGATACATAAAATGAAAGTATTAAATCTTTCTTCCAGGTTTAAAAGGGAATTAAGGGATGAGAAATGAGGTTCACCTCTGGTTTTAAATCTCGATGAACCACTCCTTGGAGATGACAGAAAGCTACAACGTTAAGGATCTGTATAAGCACTGCTTTTGCATCATCTTCAGTGTACTTCCCTCCCCTAAAAGAGAATGTGACATAGTCAGACACTTAACAAATTTGATAACAATGATTCTCTTTCTTTTAATAGCAGACCTTGCTAGTATTCTGTCAAGGAGTTCACCACCTCCACATAACCTGAAAGTTCAAAGAAAGTAATTGTTAACTCACAGCTGAACATTTTTGAAGTATATTGTTTTCCTGTAAATGTAATTAAAATCTAGGTGATTCAAACATTGTATGATAGCAAGGTGTTCTTACTCCATAACGATGTAGACGTTGGCATTGTCCTCAAACGCATCATAGAATTGTACCAGATTGTTATGTCCAGATAACGCCCGCAGGATTTTTACTTCTCTTCGCACATCCTCTATAGATATCGCAGTTGTCATCTGCCAAAACCAAATACTAAATGAGCAAACAGTCTATTATGGATAAAGCTAACACTCAAACAAACTCAGGACAGCTTATGTGAATCCAGAAGTCAAATAACTTGATTCCATGATACAAAATTGCATAAGAACAATATACATACTTCATTTCTTTGATGACATAAGCACAAAATGACTATGCTTATAACGTGTAGAACTTTTTTCACCAGAAAGAAAAGTCAGCAAAATTTACATCTACTACCATTGAAAATCTTCACCTTTGACAAACATACTAAATTTATCAAAAAAAAAAAAAACTTTACAACCTAATCTCAATTCAAAAACATGTTTTGTTTTGTTTTTTCTATTAATTTCTAAGTATAAAAGTCCCACACTCCATTTAATTTTTCCAACAAGAAGACAGTAAGTTCACATAGAAGAAATCAAGAGAGACTATGAAGACAAATAAGTTCATAGGGTAACAACATCTAACAAACCAAATCAGACAACAAACAAGAGAGACCAACACATCTGTAAAATGATCAAATCTCAGCTTAACACTAGAATACAATCAATCAATAGCATGCAAAAACTTAAAGCCAATTGAGAGATAGATTATAAAAGTGTAAAGTAGTTTGACCTTAGATTTAGGAATGACTTTAACAGCAACCTCATGATCCTTAAGCTCTCCCTTCTTGAACTTAGCAGAACAAGTATACCCAAAATGCCCTCTCCCAATCTCCTCCCCCAACTCCATCCTACTCTGAAACTCCTTGGAGAATCCGAACCTCTTGTCCAGCCCCACCTCTTCCCTCTCCTTCTCTTCCTCCGTCTTCTGCCTCTCCGCCGGCAAAGCAGCCTCCTTTTTCCCCTTCCTCCGCCGCAGAACGTCCCGGATGTGTTTCGCCGGCGACGGAGGGTGGAAAGCACGCGCGAGCTGACGGAGAGGAGTGCTGGTGACGCTCTTGCTCTCTCCTCCTCCTCCTCCTCCTCCGTCGCGGCTCTTGTTGCGGCGGTGGTGCCTGGCGGGGCTTGGAGTGTAGAATGGGAGGAAAGGAGAGGACTTTACGGCGGTGGCCGGTGATTTAGAGGGATGGGCAGGGGTAGAATCGTCAGTTTGTGGAATTGTGTTTTTGGGTTTGACGGAGGAGGAGGGTTTGGAGGTACAACCTCCCATAGCTTTCTTTCTCTGGTTTCAGCCAAATTTAAAAAAAAAAAAAGAAATTCAATTTTTAGAAAATTGAAAAGACAGAAGAAGAAGAAGAGAAGAATTGGGACAGTGAGGTGCTTTATGAGAATCACAGCAAAGACATTGAGAGGTTTGGTTTTTTAGAGAGAGGAAGTGAGCTGTAGAGGAGAGAGAAGCCACATGGCAGAATCTGCGGGGTCTTTTGATCTGATGAAGAAGGTTAGATGGGGATTGGTGGATTTTAGTTGCTTTTTGCCACGTGTTTTTATTTTTTCAAATTTTATTAAATTATAAATTTGTTTTCTTGTTTTACTTTCGGTTTATGTATTTTATCATTATTATTTGTCTTTTTTCTTGTCTTTTATTTTGTGGGGGCCTATGGGTTTTTTGTCTTTTGTATTTTGATTTTATTTAAAGGAATATCAAACAAATCAAAAGTTTAACAAATATTGGTGAATCGTGTAGATCTCAGTTTATGACAAAAATCTTACAGAGAAAATATAGAAATAAAAACGGTTTCTCAATCTAATAATAAATACTAATCATTCATAATAATGATAAATTAAAACTTTGAAAGACAAGTAAATTTATTATATTATTATTGCTAAAATATATTAACATTAATTAATCACAGAAAATGATGCATGTGTTCAATTTTTTACGGTATGTGTGGAAAGTGATGTTTAGAAAAGAATGTGGTGAAAATTTGAAAATTTTAGTGTTTAATTATTTAAATTAAACAAAAGGAAAAAATATAATTTTCTTTAGAATTATATTATACTCCCTCTGTTTCAAAATATATGTCATTCTAGACTTATTTTTTTGTCACAAATTAAATGTCGTTTTAGAATTTCGAGACAAAATTTATTAGTTTTATATAATATTCTATTTTTCTATTGGTTGAAAGTGGTTAGGTGTATAGGTAATTGTGTTTTTATCTTGTAAATATGTAAAATTAAATATTTCTTTAATCTGTGTGAAAAAATCTAAAATGACAAATAAAGTGAAATGGAGGGAGTATAGCATTTTCAAATTTGTGTAATATATTTGACAATATATATAGTTGTTGGATCGTATCTGTTAAGAAATGAACCCCAAAACGGAATTCCAAACTAGCAAACAACAACAACATTTGATCCCAAGCAAAGTTACCAAGCTGCATGCATTTTGTTTATTGTTTTTTTTTAAAAAAAATTAGCATGGAAACAAAAAGTGGTCCACTGTAACAATTTCAAAATGATAGCATGTAGTTGGCGGTATATAATAAGTTCGTAATTTTGTAGAGAAATTATTAAAGACTGTCTATCAACCATCATGAATCACATAGTCCGTAGTCCCTGCATGGATATTCATATGTACTTATCTTATTTATTCTGGGTGAAAATGTAGTTATCTTGTTTAATCTACCTTCTCTAGTTAGTAGACGCTAATTAATTGTACTCAATATAACGTTACATATCTATATCATTAATTGATTGTATGTACGTATCTGCTTGTTCTTGAAAGAAGTTGATATCTGTAATCCAACAACTTCATTGTATCTGGACAGGATGGATATCAATTTTCAATATGATTAATAGATCTCAACATCTTCAAGAAGAATAACTGGTCCACATCTCTATTTTATTAAACTAACTCTTGATTTGATGATCGCTCTTAAATACTATTTCACAAGATTGTAGAAGTTGCGTCTTTTTATTACCATCCTCTCATTTTAGTACATCTATATATATAGAGTAAGAACTTGGTCACTGTTGGTTCGTGTTTGATTTAGTTCATGCATTTTTATCATTCGTCTTTTCATATATATATTTTAAATAGATGGCACTAATGATTTGTTTTCTACTAGTACTACCATTTTTCGAGTCATATAATCAAAATAGAGGTGAGAATAATACACAACAGGGTTGCAGTTCTTGTGCTATAAACCCTTCATTATTCAGTTAATCTCACAAATAATAAATAAATCAAAACATACAAAATAAATTGCCCAAATTAGAGAATAAAAGAAATGCAAAAAGAAAGAAAAAAAAAACACTCAAAAAACTTCACCATACCTCATCCCAAACCCATGTCCTTGCTTCTGTGAACTCATATATCTCAAAAAGAAAAAAAACCAACCCACATGTATTATTGGTTAATTCTATAGCTTTTACCTCTATAAATGATAAATAGTAATCGTCCTTCACTTAAGAGATAGTTAGATAAGACTGAGATTAACGGGTTTGCCACGTCCCATGGTGAAGCCTCTTGTTCCATCAGGCATCCTTGGTCCCTTTGTTGCTGTTTTTGGAGACGAAGATCCGTGTAGGCCTAGGCTCGGTGACATTGGGCCGAGGCTGAGTCCTAACCCTATCCCCAAGCTACGTTCTCCTCCTCCTATCGCATAGCTTCTTGGAGATCGTCCTCTTCCTTTTCCTCTCCCTTTTCCCCATAGTCCTCCAAGATTGGTGTCATCACCCTAACGTGCACACCAAGAAATGATTTTTTTATATATATGGAAAGGTTTAATTTGAAGGGAATAAGCAAGACTAACGTCGTTATCAAGCTGATGCTCGGTTAAATGGAGACGTGGAGACTCTTCTCCTGATTCATATGGACTTTCATCATCTATGAGGATGCCATCAAAGTTTCTTCTGTGCTTGAGGACTGATTTGGGCTGTAAAATACAATATATGACTCATGATAAGTGAATTGGACACATCTATCGTATATATTTTTAGGATTCTTTCCAATTTCCGATGCTGGAAACTTTGCCTTTAATACTTTAACCTCGGAGGGCTTTTGAGTTTCAAGAAACAAGTGTGTAATTAATGGATTTTACCGAGCATCTAAGAAGCAGCCTCACACGAAGTCCTTTCCTCCAGTTTCTTTCATCGTTCAGCTTCTCCACCTGGTATGGATCACATCTTAGAAACTAATTCAATAAATTTGGGATCAAAGATGAAAAGATTCACTCACAGCTTTATCCGCGACAACAGTGTGGTCATACTCGATAAGTGCGTGAATCTATGGATTAGAACAACAAGAAAGTATTAAGCTCTTTAAGTCCATGCAAAAGCTCAAGAACAGAGGAAATTTTTAGAAGCAGATCATGGTACTACACTACTTACTTTGTTGCTCATCAAGAAATCTCCTTTAGGACGAGAGGAGTTTGATTCTGGAGGATGACAGATTCGAATCGCTTTAACGCTGAAACAATACCATACATGTTGTTTGGTTAGAAAGAAAGGCCATGTTGTTTAAGTGTGAAAGTATATGAAGTAGAGTGTTTCTTACTTTCCAACAACTCCAAAGATCTTCTCAAGGTTCTGGTAAGAGTGATCATCTGGCAAATTCTCTGCAACAACAGTTCGGCCCTGAAGAACAATTAACAGAAATAAAAAAGAAGTACTTTATATATTTATAGTTGATTATAAATATCATAGTTAATTAATTACCTGCAAATCCTCTCTGTCTCTGTCAGTAAATGGAACTTTACGCTTAACTTTCTTGTTGTCTTCACTCACGACCTTAATTTGTTCACAAATCTCTCAGTATATATACTTTAAGATATTATGATTAGCATGTTAGTATCTAGAAAGAAGCTTACAAGCTTAGAGGAAGAGCGTAGAGCCAATGATACTAAATGGTGGTTACTTGTCAAAGCCTTGATCTTCTTGGTCGAAGCAATGTAAGATATTGGCACTGGTTTTAAATAGAGACAGATATATGATTGTTAAAACAGAACTTAACATTCACTAGGTGTTGAGGAATCTGAAGACTTACCATAGCCTTCAGGGTCTTTGTTCATGTGCTTGGAGATGGACTCATTGGCTAGGAGACTCATGTCCGTGAATTGGTACTCTACCTATATAATTTGATATTAGACAAAAAAAAAAACCATAATTTGAAACCAGTTATTAGGCTTCTTGTGAGTCAAGAAATGGATTGGAATTGAAAGGCTAAACCAGCAATGGTTTTATCTTATTTGATTCATCGGTTATGTGCAGCTGCATCAATTAATCAACACAATGATTTGTTTTTTTGTGTTTTGGTTTTAACAAATGATAAATGAAAATATGATGATCTCAAAACATAATTGAGATATTCTTTATGTTTTCATAGATCCATGAAAAAGTATTTGCAATTTGTATTAAAAAAAAATTATATGTTCAAAACCTTGAATATAGTTGACATCTCAAGATTCTCAACATAAATTTCACCTCATATTCACAAATTTATGATAAATTTTTAAATATTTATAAACATAATAAAATTGCAGTCAACACTTTTAGCATATAATTAATTTATCATCTAAAATAAATATCACTAAAATAAAAAACAATATTTGAACATATGGCGATGAGAATTACGCGGGAAATAAAAGAAGTAAATAACCTGTTTGACGATCTTAAGACGAAGATCATCGGAAAGCAACGAAGAAGAAGAAGAGTTCTGATTCACCGGAAACTGAACCGCCGGACTCGGAACGTAATACGCAGCCGCCGGATCATGAATGTGCTGATGCTGACCAGGATCTCCTCCTCCGACGAAGAACCAATCCGACGCCTGAGAGCCGACGGCCGTCCCTCCTCCGTCGCTGTAGTGAAAGCAAGGATAAAAGTAACCGGAGATCGGAGAAACCTGCGGTGTAGTTACGGCGGCACGCGATTGCGGTACGAACTCCGGTGCCTCAGCGTTGAATTTGAACGATGACGCGGAAGATCCGCCGCCTCCTCCTCCTCCTCCGTCTAAGACTTTCTTATCCGTCGTGACGGATTCAGCATCTTCTCGGTGCATCTGCGCCATGTTTCAACTCACTAATGCAAAACTCGTTCAACAATATAATATTTTTTTGGTGTTTTGTCTATTTTTTTTTTCAATCTAACAAAATTAATATTTTTTTTTTGTTGTTTGTGGATTTGATTTCTTCTTCTCTAGTTATTTCTTACTGCTTCCTCTAATAGTTATAAAACAAGGAATTTTTTTTTGAAGCCTTGTTTTTTCGCGTAAATTATGGATTTTTAACGAGAAAAACTAGCTTCTAGGTTTGACTTTGTATTTTTACTATTTCTCTCAAACTGTTTTAGAGCTTTTAGTTTTTCTTTTTTTTTTTATAAAAAAAAGGTCTTAATTAGTTATATAAAATATGATTAATAGATTTCATTTATAAATTTTAAATCCATAACAAATGTAAGAAAAATTGTAGACCAGTCAAGATTTGAAAAAAATCATATTTCTAGGGTAAGCATTGATAAAAAAACAGATTATTTACATTCTCAAATTATATTGCTATCTACCAAATTGTTCTCTTCAAGTAATACACAATTTTTTTTTTACACTGAGTCCAGTACTTCGTTCAAACTTCTTTTAATTTCCTAGTGACCTCTCAAGTTTATGAGAAATAAATAAATGAAAATGTCTTCTTTTATGTTAGTGATAAATTGAAAATGCTGAGTTTCGAATCATAAACATGGTGAAAACTTAAACTACTCAAATGAGAATAAAATATCCAAACATAAAACTTTTTCACCATCAACAAAACCGATTTTCTCATTTTAATCTCTTTTTTTTCTTTTTCTGGAATGAGTCTCACTGACAAGTATCAACCAATAGGATATTCATAAAGAAATCTTCAAAAGGCATTTAATAAAGAAAACTAAAATTAATAAACACCAAAAAAACAACGGACATTGTCACTCATTCTTGTTGCCCGAATACTTGTTGCCCTAAATGTTGCAGTAATTCTCGATGTTGTTGCAGTTGACTTGGTTCATTAAATTTTGGGTTCAGTTTCATAATTTGTTGTTGCAGTAATCCTTTCTGTAGCCGTTGCGCTTGCATTAATTGCTGTTGTTGAAGTTGACTTGGTTTCATAACTTGTGGTTGCAGTAATCCTTGCTGCTGTTGCTGTTGTCTTGCTAGATGTAGCTGTAACATTTGATTCCTTTGATGTTGCATTTTCGTCTGCAGTGATCCTTGTTGCCCTACTCCGTGATGCAATGTTCCTTGTTGACTTTGCATCGATATTTGTGGTGCTTGTAGAGTGTTAGTTGGGTTTAGGTTTGGATATTCAGAGACTCTTGTTGCCCTACTCCGTGAGGCAATGTGTCCACTCTTGAGTTGTTCTGAAACACTATTATATTCCACCTCGAGAGTCTTGATATATAGCTATCAAGACAAAAAAAAAAAAAGGATCAGTAATATATAGTTATTTTACTTCTCAAGTCACTAGACTAATTCGAAATATAATTTATATAGAATGATCGATCGATGATGATCCATATAGGTTAATTAGACGAAAAGATGAATATTACCATGATCCAAGAGTTGTTTGGACTTGGGAAGGTCGAGAGCCTTGATCTTACTCATCTCGTCCTTGAGAGAGACAAGATAGGTTTGGATCTTAGCGTATTTACCCAAAAGTGTTTGAGTTTTTTCAATGTCTTCCATGAACAACTTCAATGGATCACTTGTCGGTGGCAAAGAACTGGACGCATACATAGAATGCTTCAGAGGTTAGATTAAATGGTTTTTGTACAAGTTATATGAAATTAACTGGACGCATACATCAAAAGTTATTTCAAACACCTGGATGACTAGATCTGATTCACATCCATAATTTTATTATTGGTGAATAAAATCATAACGTTTTAGCTAAGCGCCTAGCTAGGTCGTCATTGTTTACATATTCAACAAAATAATAATAACAATTAGGGCAAAAAAAGAGAAATGAAGAGAGAATACGTGTTTGATGATGATGGTGTGCTCATCACTGAAAGTTAAAACTAATTAAGTCTTCGATCTACGATTAATCGAAAGACCGGGCCAAGTTTTGTCAGAAAAAATAACCTTAGCCTTTCTCTAAGCAAACCCTACTTTTGATCCCGTCTTGCTTTCATTCTTTTATTTATAGGAGTATTATTATTTTCTCTTCTTTTGTTATTATATTATTTGCCCTTTTTCTCTAGTAATAAGTTTCAATCCTTGATGACTTGGCAGCTTTGCCTGGGGAGCTATTTTTGTGAAAATCGAATTATAAATATCTATATTATTAAAACTAAAATCTGTTTATGTTACAAAAAAAAAATGAAGTATATGTTGGTACTATTTATAAACATGTATATCATTATTAAAAAGAAGTATGTCTGGAAACATGAAAAGGAGTGTCTTTTTGTATTTTCTTTTATTTACATATTTAGCTATTGCATTTAGAATAACGTAAACATTTTCTTTTTATGTTTCTTTTTATTTAAAGATTTTGCCACTACATATAAATCAGTTTTAGTTAACTAATTATCATTCTAAAGCTGATGTTGTTATTGATAATATAGGATTATCAATTACAATATAGTATATACTATATAAAACAATTTTAAAATAACTATTACCCTATTTAATGTAGTCAAATAAAAAATTTTGAGAGTTCAAATTTCAAGAAACAAATAATCATAAAATTATTAATAATTCATAGAAAACTAATGCAAAAAATTAAAAAAATTAGTATGTTATTTCATTTTTAAATAAATTAATAAAAATAACAGGTTAATATATGAATAGTACAATTACATTAAGTATATTCTATATGTAGATATTATCAAACCTCTATATTATAAAATAATATATTATATTCTATATGTAGATTACAAAACATAAAAAACTATATGAGATTTTTTTTTATAAAACCAGTGGTTTATGAATCTGGGTTGAATCTATACTATTAAAGCATGATCCTATTATTAAAATTTTGGATTCTACCCCTAGATTTTTATCACATTTATAAGATAATACCACTATTTATTTTTATAATCTTAATCAATTAAACAATTTAATATCTCCTATATTTATGGTAACTGATAATATTTCCTATTTTTGTGATTAATAATAATTTCCTTTTATGAAAATTATGATTTTATATTTAATTTTAATATCATACATCCGTGCATCATATTATTTAGCGATCAAAAATTATAAATTATTATTTACTGTTTCATTTTATTCATAATAATGATAGGTCAATTCAAGTTGTTTTAAAAACTAAATATTAGATATAAAATGAGTAAAAATGTAAACTTATTATAGGTTATTAATAAAAAAAAGGAAACTAATATTATTATATGAATAAAGGGGGTTTTGCAAAACCAACCCAAAAATTCAAGTCAAACACAAAACCAACCTCTTTTTTTTGTCATTACTATTCACTCTTAAAAAACCTAAACTCTCCTCATGTTTCCACCTATTTACCAAATTGCCATTATTTTTAAATCTGATTTTATTTTCGAAAATTATAAAAAACCTATTACACCCTAAATATTTCTCCTTATTTACCATAATGCCATTGTCATCAATATTTGCAACCACCCAAAACCATCATTGATGAGCTCTTTAAGCTTGTGTTTAAGAAATTCCAACCACTTATTTCACTTTCTAAACAAACAATACTTCATTTCCTCTCATTTCCTCTCTATTTTCATCTAAACAATCCTCATAACTCTCATTTTCATAAACACAAACTTCATAGTTTCGATTTTATCCACAAGTGGATCGTAAAGGTTGCTTCTTTTGCTCATATTTGGATTCTGGACGGTGGAAAAGCTTGGAAACAAG